CTCGGTGCTCCGGGCTCATAAGGCGGTGCTGCCCGATGGTGTACGCCACAATGATGCAGCGATTGTCACTCCATGGAATGGTGCCATGCATGCTTTCGCGGGCGTTGAACAGTATCGCCTGGGCCTGGGTGTTATAGATAGTACCTTTGCACATCTCCCCATCGATCTGCATAGCATGCTTTCCCTGGCCATCCCCAATCCAGAGTCCACCACTGTTGTGATGAGTAAGACCCAGCAATAGGCTGTTGCCTGGAGCGTTGGCCCTATCACAGTGCGGCATGGTCATGTCGTCGAGGTGGATGCTGAGGGTGGTCCACGTGTGCGTATGCAGAATCTTGAGGATGGCCGTGTTTAACAATCTGGCAGCTGCGCAATGCCCACGACTCGACTTAGTTAGGCCCACCAGCCCGCCTTTGCTATACAGGCCAAGCCTAAAGGAAAGGCCACACGCATGCGGCCTGGCATCCTCCTCAAAGGCCAGGCTCCGGGCAACCTCACGGATGGCTGTCCACAGCGATCCTGAGCCTTCCTGAAGAAACTGCACCGCCAAGGCTTCTGCTTCCGAGATCGGCTGTGTCGCACCATAGTGCGGCGGAGGGAATGCGACGAGGCTCTCCCCGTCCAGTGTTCTCGCCAGGCGATCTGCAAACACCACGTATTGCATCAGGTCATCCTCAGTAAGGACCTCCCGGGCTTCCTGAAGAATTTCATTGCGCGTGAGAAAAGACAAGGCCGGGCGGAGCGTTTTCGAAAGCCCCACCAAACTGCGCAAGTGAAGCAGAAGCATAAATTCTTCCTCCGCAACCACACTCATGTGCCTTGGCAAGGCAAGGACCCTTGTCATGGCGGCCAAGGTGGCGCCGACCTAGGCACCTAACGAATGCACCTACCCGCAGCGCATTCGAGCAAAGCACGCTGCGACACACGGTGGCTCGTCATTGGCACAGAAGTGGAAAAGGCAGGCCGAATGCAGACTCGGGTGCCGGCAGGTCTGCGCACCAAGGCTGCGCTCCCTACGCGCAGCAAGCAGGGGACGACCCAGTCCCCGCTTCAGGTTGGAAGCCCATGCTTCGGACGAGGTGAGAGGAAGCTTCTCAGCTGGATGTGTAACTAAAGTAAGGTGACGCAATTGAACTTGCAAAAAGACAGACTCAAAAACTGTAATGCAACGCAAAGGCCATCTGTTTTGTGGGCTCCTGATATCGCTTCGGCATCAGGTGATGGCTCTGATGTGGGCAGGGTGGTTGTTATTGTGGGCCCACCCTGCAAGGCCCTTGTGCATGCTATGGTGTGCGCATGAGACCTAGAAGGTAGCAGTTGCTATCAACTAGATCGAGATCCACAGCTCGCGCCTTGCGTGGGGCTTTGTTATCATCACAGACAAGATAATCCCAACCAGCAGCCTTAGGGAGTCCTAGCAGGGCGAGATAGTGGCCACTAGT